GGAAGCGTCGACGTCAGCCACCCCCTCGACACGTGCGAATCCCGGGAAATGTTGGAATTGCGACGAGGTAGGACATTTCGCGCGGGAATGCAAGGGAAAGCCGCGTATGCATTGTTACCGATGCGGGAAGGCGGAAGTTACGTTGCGCACGTGCCCGAATTGTACGGGAAACGCGTAAAGGAGTCGAAAGCCGGGGGTAACTCGACTCCTTCGCCTAAACCCCCTCAGCGTGAGGTCGCGTCGGGAAGGGAGGTGGCGTACAGCGCATTCGGGCCAAATTGCTCCTCTTCTCTATTATTTTTACGCGTCACGATGTCGGGTCGGGAGTTACGCGCATTGGTGGATTCTGGCTCAAGTCGCACTTTCTTAGGCTCGGAAGCTGTCGATTTGCTTAAGGGCGCCGGATTTTCGTTTCGCTCAGGGAGCGGACCGCGCGTGACCACCGCCACGAACCAGACGACGCGGGTGAGGGGAGAGACCGAGGTCCCGATAACGCTTGGTGGGAGAACTCGTAATCTCCGCGTGTGTTCGTTGCCGACGTTGGCCTTGCCGTGCATATTGGGCATGGACTTTTTGGCGGCCTTCGGGATTGTCGTGAATTTTGTGCAGAGAGCGTGGATCTTCGAGGACAATCCGTCGCGTCGGTACCGGTTCGAGGAGGAGTCCGCGAACTTCGTATCGAGCATAGTCACCGCCTCGCTGGTGGGCGAGGAAATGACAGACGCGGCGCCACCGGTATCGGGGAAACGCGAGGGGGAAAGCACGCCGAAGATGCTCGCGTTGGAATATTCGTGTGATCGCGAGGCCCCTCCGGGGGAGGGGGAGGCGACCGACAGTACCACGTTAGAGAAAGCGTCGAGTAGTTTACGGACCCCACAAGAAGGGGGGAAGACGGGGGGATTAATCGAATTGTCGGACAATGAGAGAGCGCGATTAGAAAGATTTTTGGCGACCGAGGTAACAGGCGATCCGGAGAGACCGGGAACGACAAGTTTGACGGAACACCGTATTGACGTTGGGGGGCACGCGCCCATTAAGCAGAGGTATTATCCAGTTTCGCCAAAGGTACAGGAGGCGATCTACAAGGAAGTAGATAAAATGTTAGATGCGGGGATAATCGAACCATCGAACAGCGAATGGTCGACCCCCATAGTAATGGTAAAGAAACCGAACGGCAGCTATCGGTTTTGCTTAGATTTCAGAAAGTTGAATAGCGCATCGAAGAAAGACGCCTACCCCTTGCCTTACATGAACGCGATACTGGATAAGCTACGAGCCGCGCGATACATATCGACCATTGACTTGAGCCAGGCATATTTCCAAATCCCGCTCGAGATAAATAGTCGCGAGTTAACAGCCTTTACCGTGCCGGGAAAAGGCTTGTTCCATTTTACGCGCATGCCGTACGGATTGACAGGTGCCCCGGCAACTTTCCAAAGGCTATTAGATCGCTTAATAGGTCCGGAGATGGAACCGCATGCCTTCGCTTATTTAGATGACATCGTCGTGGTAACGCCTACATTCGAAGAGCATATTAAATGGCTTAAGAAAGTTTTCGAGCGCATTAGAGAAGCCGGCC